GCCAAGTCTGGCCCACCACTATTTTCGTAAATAAGGTTTTATTAGAATGTAGCTATGCTCATTCTTTGGGTATTGTCTAGGACTGCTTTCATGCTCCAGTGACAGAGTTGAGTAGCTGCAACAGACACTGGATGACTTGCAAAGCCTAAAATTTTACTATGTGGAAATTTACAGAAAAAATTTGCCAATCCTTGATCTAAGGAACATACTTAGTCCCATTCCTTGGTTACTACTGATTAAAGACTCCAGAGATGGTAAAATTACATGTTAATTTGTAGCTTTTTCTCTGGTAGCAATACAAGTAATTTCTATCCCAGGGAAAAGATAATCTCTAAGGTTACAGTTTATGGCCTTGTTTTGTCTCTAACTGAGAAGTCTTATCTTAATATTGCCTAGAAATACCTAACTTCTCAAATGCTCTTTGGATGGGTTTAACATCTTACTGGTTCCCTCATAAATTAATGAGTTAAAAACAATCTTTAATATACGTTTCTTTTATATTTACATAAGAGTCATGATTTTTGCCTTTTAGAAAATTATATTTTAAGAAGTATGAGGTAGGAATCCAGGTTTTTTGGTTCTCTTTTCCCCTAAATTGCTAGCTATTTGTTTCCAAAACATTTGTAGAACAATCTGTCAATCTCTCTACCTATCTAATTTCGTATGCTTCCTTTGTCATTTATGTGTATTGAATATAAGATGATTGACTAATTAGAGAATATAATTTGTGTATTGGTTATAAATGTCAAAGACCACAGGCATTGCTGCTCAAAAAAGTCACATGTTATTTTTCTAAAACTCAAGCAAATCTCTTCTTGAGCCCCAATTCTACCTGTTGATAGAAGACAAAAGAGATGATTCCAGTAAACTCAGTCACTTCAGGTTTTTTCAGTCATTTCAGATTTAAACTCACTTAACATTTAAATTTTTATCAGGGTGACATATACCTTTCCGGATTCTTTAGAGCAAAGGAGCTGATGTATAGTCATCATGTCACCCAGGCTGGGTGAGGGGCCTCTACTAAGAGATAAGACAGCCTTGCTGGCACTCAGCACGGTCATCCCTAACAGCACATATGCTTACATGTCCATGCCCCTGTAGGTCTCTGTGTCTGGGTCACATCCTCTGTGCCTCCCTCATCCTGACAGTTAGGCTTCTTCAGGTCTCAGCACCCGCTCTGTTAGCTTCTGTCAGGAAATGGGAAAACTGTATTTGCTTCTCATGCTCCTCTGGGACTTCAGAAAAACTGTCAGGCTCTCACTGCTCCATGGCTCCCCCTATATTGCCACCTCTAGTCTTCTTCCTTGTCCTGGTGTCTGGGGGAACTTTCAATCCCCTCACCCCCACTACCACTACCGCCACTGTGGGGACTTGAGTCTCGGGGCAGAGTTAGGAAAGCTGAATACCCCACATTTGCTATTCTCCTCTCTAACTCTCCCACCTTAGTCTGGGCAATCCACAAGTGGGAGAGGCTAGGACTTCATCTATTTCCTTTCCAATCTATTGGTTTGGGCATAACTTTAGGCTCTGATTCCTTCAAGTCTTTAGGAAAGCCTAGCTCTTACAAATGAAAAGTCTTGGTTTTTGAGAATAACAACCTTGCTGTACATTTTTAAAGGCCACTTTGGAGCTCACAAGCCCAGAGTTTAGCTATTTGTTTCTGTATTCTGCGTAATCCCTCCCATGAAGCAATGTACCGGGCTGACTGGAGGGTCTGTGGTTGGGGGGGCTTCCCTTAATACCTTGATATCAATCTTTTTTCATACAACTTTTGCTTTATATTCCATAGATAACTACTGGTTACAACACATCTAAAACTGGAACTAGCACACTGCATCGGAAAAAGCTCTTCACTTTTTGTCATAAATACCAGGGGCATCAAAAGTGATCAGGAATGTCTAAGAAACATCCTGCTAGTGATGTCTGCTGATAAGGAAAGGAAAGTCATAAGTTATAAGGGAAAGGTATAATTGAATTCTGGATTGGCTCAGTGATGTTGAGATCTTATACCTATTCCTCTATAATTATAAAAACACCTTTACTGTTGAAAAACTTGCAGTACAAAAGAACCTTGTCATTTCAAACCTGAAACTCTCTAGTATTCCAATACACTTTTGTTTCTGAGAAATAATTTTCTAAACTCTACAAGAGAACAGTCTTTACCAGATTCTCACATGTGTGGGGGACTTTGGACTCTATTCTGTTTAGCTGCTTATGCGGAACTAATCTCTAGTTTTTTAATACATTTTAACAGCTTCACAGGCAAAACCTCATCTATTCTTCATCTTTGTGGCCTTTCTAACAAATTTTCTGGCTACTCATACATGTTTATTTTTCCATATGAACTTTTTGAAATTAAAAATCATGTTGTCAAGTTACCCCTTTGTTTTCTCATCTTTGGATAGAAATCTATCTAGGTCTGCTTTTTGTCAGTAAAATAAAATCAAATAGTATTTATAGGTTTTGCTTGGATTCCCTCCGATAATCATTCAAACCCCTCATTAAACTGAGATGATAAAGATTTTTAATATCAGTCCACCCATTCAGCATTCCAAGATGGGGAGGTGGATGTCCCAGCCAGAGAACTTTGTCTCTGCGTGATTTTCTGCTTGTTGAAACCACTATGCCAGTGCCAGATTTTGGCATCTGGTGCCCTGTTCAGTTTGGCTTCTCCTCTTGTACATGGTGGGACTGTATCTGGTCTCCTTCCTATAATTTCTACCTGACAGCTAGGGTAGTGCACGGAACAGCGGCCCCTTTAAGCCTGAAGTTCTGAGAAACCTTTGGAGAGAAGTGTGTTATGGGAAGCACGGCATTGGTGGGCTTTCGACATGGTGATGCTGCGTATGTACACCCCCACTCCAACCCTCAACTCTCCCACCAACTCCGCAGGCAGCAGCCTTGGCAAAATACCTTCACAGCTTCTAACACATTGCAGAGGCCATTAGTCTCCTCTTTTAGTAAATGGCTCGCTTTTACCTCCAGACCTGCCCCTCTGAATTAGAGAAGAGCATTCTCACTTTGAGAGGGAGACGACGGGCAAAGAGAAGAAATTGTGGGGAGTGGTCCAGAATTTTCTGCTCTGACCCCTTCAAGACAGTCTTAGAATGTTCAGCTGTGATAGCAAAAAGGTCTTTTAGCTTTGGTGGGTAATATACCAACACCTTTGTTGCTGGTACCATCTACTCTAGATAACGGTTTTTGGCCCCCTGCAGACTTTACACCATGAAGCTATTACTGTCCCTACTATTCCGTCCAGCTCTGCCTCCACCTTCCCTATCAACGTCTGTCATCTGTACTTTTTCATTTGATTTGCAAAGAGCTAGACTCCAGTATAAAAACTAGTCCATGCTAGAAGATCAGCAAGTATGACTGCCCTAAGCTGGTTTAAATTACTTTCATGTCCACTTACAACTGAACTAGCAAACAATGAGGTTGTCCTTGTCCAGATTCCACCTGACCCCCCAGCAGCTTGCCCTCACAGGGACCTGGGAGTGGCTCAGGGAATCCTGGCAGCTGAAGCCCTAGCAGCCACCCCTTCCTGCCTTTGCTTAGTGAGAGCCCACAGTCTGACAGGCACCAATGAGCACCTCCCACCCCCTCCCACTCCTTTCAGGGGCTTTAGAGTCAGGCGGTGGAGGAGCCTAGCAAGTCACTCAACTCTGAGCCTTATTTCCTCATCTATACAATGAGGATGACAATAATACCTACTTCATAAGGATGCAGGGAGGATTAAAAGAACTCAAGTGCATCACAAAGTGTCCAGAAGCACTCCAGAAGTATGGGGGTGGGGGGGGAGGGGTGTTCTCCCAAGGTTGAGCTAAAGTTTACACAACAACAGTATAATTGAAAGCCTTTTCTTTATTTAAACACTTGCTGAAATAGAAAAAACCCCAAGCTCTGCAAAAATATGGAGAAATACTCAAACATTCTAAACATATACAGGTTTTTTAAAACTTAATCTTGTAAGTTTTACAATACTTATTATTAAACCTCCAAAATACACTCTAAGGTTCTTATTCTTTGAGGAAAACAAACCTAAAGGCAAAGACAATAACCTTTTCTAAGTAAAGCAAGTTAAAATATCATTCCCTGAGGTATTAAAACAGCACTTAATTGCTACACAATTCCCTGTCTTTGAAGAGAGTCCGCAGCACAGATATTAAATTGCTGCCGAGGGTTTAGACATTTAACTTTCAAGAATTAGATTGATGATGGTCATTATTTTCAATATTGTTGTGTATTTACCCAGCAGATTTCCCCCAAAGAGCCAAAGGGCTGAACAGAACCTGAAAGCCAAGTGGAGCAGGCCTGAGGCCTTGAACCAGCCTTTGGGGTGACAGGAGCCCCTGTGGTGAAGGGGCAAGGAGCCTCCTCCGCCTGACTGGAGGGCTCTGTGCAGGTGTCCACAGGTCCCAAGCAGCAGTAAAAGAACCTGGAAACTGCACTTTGGAAGCAGCAAGACAGACTTCAGCTGCAGAGCACAGCCCAGCTGAGGCTGCTCACTCCACTCAGCTCACGTACAGTCTGTCCGGGCTCCAAGAGCAAAGGGCACTGTTCTCCAGCGCTCGTTTGCTTCCTCCTCCCCGTAGGAGGGTGGGGAGTATTGTCTGGACTGCAATCCACAGCCATAGATGCTGAGGGCCTGAATATGATGGGAGACTGGCACCCGAGCTTATCTTCCAGTTAGCTCTGTGAGATTGGGTAAGCCATTTAATCCCTTACTTCCCCCGTCTATAAATACACAAGGCTGGACAGATCTCTAAGTTCCCCATGAGCATAAGAGTCTGTGCTTCCAAAGTGACAGCAAAACAAGATTGAAAAAGAAATACGTGTAAAAGAAATAAAAAACATTAATGTCATAAAAAATCACCTCACGGTTTAAAGAGTCATGAAGAGAATGGTTCAAGTCATGATTTCACAACTTAATTACAAATAAACTAAACTTTTTTCCATTAATGCACTCTTTTACACTATATGACAGACAAAAGATGACTTACTGGTGATTCAATGTCCTCTAGGAGTAAAACAGAGCAGCGTTCACATTTCAGCAGAGTTTGGGCCCGATGCATTATTTTCTTGACAATTTTCTCCAGGTCAGTCTGTTCTTCAAAGAGGTCGTTAACCACCTCTAGCAAAGCCTAGGAAAGATGAAACAGATGTACTTAGGTGGATATAGGACTGAATTAAAAAAAAATTTTTATCTCAAAATTGCATTTAGTCTCTGCTGTAAGAAAACATAAATATTTTTATGTGGTTAATTTTTAAAGTATTTATGATTGTTTGGACATATTTCCATCATTTTGTTTTATAACACAGTCTTGAACTGCAAAATACAACTTGAGAAGAGTGCCAGTCCATATAATCCCACATGTAGCTATATGACTACATCCTACATAGCTGATGACTACATGAGCCCATATAGTCATTAGCTATAGGCTTTTCTCCCTCCTACAGTAGTTTTTCTGCAATGCAACTAGGTATAAACCCAACATTTTTAAAATAACAAATACTTGATTTTCTCCAAAGCACATTTATTTCAGAAAATTACAAAGCAGCTCTTCCTCACCACCAGGAAAACAGAGCTTTGTGATCAAACTTGAGACATTTTCATTAATACACATCTCTCACAGAACTCCAAAAGAATTATAGTGGTGAATGCTAATTAAGTTTCAGAGCCTTCCAAAAAAATATACAAAACCACCATTAATCCCTCTACATAAGAAGTATTGCTTCATGCCAATCTGTCAGGGAAAACATTTCAACACTATTATATATCTCAGGAAAGAGAATACCATTAAAATTTCTGTTAAAATAACAGAATGAAAAGCGTACAAATTAAAGGGAAAAAACCCTTAAATTCTAACTTGAAAACTGTGTACTCATTTAAAAATGAAATTGTAATAACCTGTCACTTTATCCAGCTAAGTCAGCTTGCAATTTTTGCATTGAAATAATATTTATTTGGAATTTCTATTTTCACAGATATTTCCAGAGTTTTAAGAACAGTGGACTAAGTACATGTAGTAGATATTATGCGTTTATCAGAGAGCAATCAGAAAATTACACAGCCAGTGAACTGGCCAGAGGGTCCTTTATTCAATAGATTTAATAAGATATGCACTCTCAAGTCTCATCTCTCACAAAAGGATTTCATGGGCTTTCAAATTCACATCCACTCATGTAGATGGAGTTCATCATCATCCCAGGGATGTGACAAATTTTCAGCTTTAGTAATGAATTTGATTTGTCCTGAAACCATTTGAAACATGTCAAAATTTCTTCTTTGAATCTATTCAGGTAGAAAAGCATTTGATTGAGTTAAAAGATCCATGAAATGAATCTAGTTCACAGAGCATCTAGAAGAGGACCAAATACCCTTGGTAACGTTTTCTCTAAAGAGAGCTTGTGAATATGCCTAAGAGCCATGGGTTGCTTATGATCGCAGAGCAAAGAGAAAGACCAGGAGGTAAAAAAAAGTTTGAAGTGTGTCCTGACTGTTTGGCATTTGGATAGCATATTGTTGTAAGAGGTCAATGTGCAATAATTTCATATTCAAATATAACAATAAAAATGAGGCAATTGTCTGAGTGATTACCAACAAAATTCCCTGTTATTAAGGGAGAATACAGTATTTCCTTAATTATCCAGACAATTTCTTCAGATGGATCATATTAACTGAACAATTATTTAACTTTCCAATTTGTTGTGACTGCATGGATAGGGCCTCTGGGACCCACATACAAGAACATTTATCTCAGAGGAAAAACTAATTGTGCCTTGAGTCTTGCACTGACAAAGCACATTATAGTAATTTTATTGTTTCTAATTAAAAATTGCTGCTTTACTAACACAAGTGGTACAAGTTTCACAAATAACACAGCTGACTAGTTCCAGAATAGGAGAAAAAGAGAAGAAAATCTAGGATGATATGTAATTTAACAGACTTTGGAAGCCTGCCACTCAGTTGAACACTCCCTGCTTCCTGACTGCACTTGCATTCTCCCCAGTCCTTCTAGTGACCTTCTCTTGCTCCTGGTCTCATCCTGGGACATCTTCCCTTCTCCTATACGTTCTCCCCCAGATTAACCCACCTGGTACGCTAGTTTTAAATACTATCTATATGTTGATAATTCCCAAATATTAATCTCGAGTCCTGATATCTCTTCAAAACCTTAAACTTCCGTATCTAAATGTTAACTTGCCAGCTGTACCAGCCAAAAGTCATTTTGACTCATTTCCCACATCAATAAGCCTTGTATATTTCACCACTAATTTGGGGGGAATCTCTCGCTTCTCACTGCCCTAGCCTCAGCCATATTATTTCTTTTTCTTTTTTCCAGCTTTATTGAGATATAATTGACATATCACTTTGTGTAAGTTTAAGGTGTACAAGGTGATGATTTGATATATATATTGCAAAATGATTTCTACAGTAAGGTTAGTTAAAACATCCATCGCTTTACATAATCACTTTTTTTTGTGGTGAGAATATTAAGATTTACTCTCTTAGCAACTTTCAAGTATAAAATACAGTATTGCTAAGTATAGCTGAATATTAGATCCCCAGAATTTATTCATCTTCTAACTGGAAGTTTGTATACTTTGACCAGTATCTTTCCATTTCCCCCACACCTCAGCCCCTCGCAATGACCATTCTACTCTCTGTTTCTATGAGGTCTAATTTTCATAGATCCAACATATAAGTGAAACCATACAGTATTTGTCTTTGTCTGACTTATTTCACCTAGCACAGTGCCCTCAAAGTCCATCCATGCCGTCACAAATGTCAAGATTTCCTTCTTTCTTATGGCTGAATAACGTTCTATTGTATTTTTATACCACAATTTCTTTATCCATTAATCCTTCGATGAACACTCAGATTGTTTCCATGTCTTGGCTATTGTGAATAATGCTGCAATGAAGATGGGGGTACAGATAGCTCTTTGAGATACTGATGTCATTTCCTTCAGATATATACCCAGAAGTAAGATAGCTGGATCATGTGGTAATTCTATTTTTAATTTTTTGAGGAAACTCCATACTGTTTTCCATAATGGCTGGACCAATTTATGTTCTCACCAACAGTACACAAGGGCTCCCTTTTCTCCACATCCTCACCGACACTTGTTATCTCTTCTTTTTTCTAATAGTCATTCCAACAGGTGTGAGGTGATATCTCTTTACGGTTTTGAATTGCATTTCCCTGATGATTAGTGATGTTAAGCATCTTTTAATGTACGTGTTGGCCATTTGTATATCGTTTTTGGAAAAATGTCTATTCAGATCCTCTGCCCATTTTTTAACTGGATTATTTGTGTTTTTTGCTATTGAACTGTATGTTTCTTATATATTTTGGATATTAACCCATTATCTGATATATATGATTTGCAAATATTTTCTCCCATTCCATAGGTTGCTTCTTCATTTTGTTGATTGTTTTTTTTTGCTGTGCAGAAGATTTTTAGTTTGATGTAGTCCTATTTGCTTATTTTTGCTTTGGCTGCTTGTGCTTTTGCAGCAAATCCAAAAAATCTTTGGAGCTTTCCCCCTATGTGTTCTTCTAGGATTTTTATAATTTCAGGTCTTACATTTAAGTCTTTAATCCATTTCAAGCTAATTTTTGTGAGTGGCATAAGACAGGGGTCCAATTTCATTCTTTTGCACGTGAACATACAGTTTTCCCAACACCATTTACTGAAAAAACTATCTTTTCTCCACTGAGTACTCTTGGCTCCCTTGTCAAATATATGTTGACTGCTTATGCCTGGGTTTATTTCTGAGCTCTTGATTCTATTCCACTGATCTATGTGTCTATTTTTAATGCCAGTACCATATGGTTTAGCCAGCCGTGGGAGTCTAGTGGTTAAGATTCAACGCTCTCACTGCTGTGGCCAGGATTCATTTCCCAGTCAGGGAACCACAGTGCCCATCTGTCAGTTGTCATCCTGTGGCAGCTGTGTTGCTGTGATGCTGAAAACTATGTCACCAGTATTTCAGATACCAGCAGGGTCACCCATAGTGGATAGGTTTCAGCAGAGTCTTCCAGACTAAGACAGACTAGGAAGGACGTGGCCACCCACTTCTGAAAAAATTGGCCATGGAAACCCTATCAACAGCAGCAGAGCATTGTCTGATATAACACCAGAAGGTGAGAGGATGGTGCAAAATGACGGCAGGGTTCCACTCTGCTGTACACAGCATTGCTAGGAGTTGGAATTGATTTGATGGCACTGACAACAACAAACCATACTGTTTTGATTACTATAGCGTCGTAGTATAGTTTAGGAAGTGTGACGCCTCCAGCTTTGTTCTTTCTCAGAATTGCTTTGGCTATTCAAGGTCTTTCCTCTCTTCTCTCTAGACACACAGAGCAAGCTTTCTCCTGCCCCAGGGCCTTTGCACTTGATATTTCCACTGCCTGGAATGCTCTTCTCAGATCTTTGTGTGGTTTTGCTCCTTTATTTCATTCAGGATTCTGCTCAAATATCATCTCCTTTCAGAGACCTTCTTGATCACCATCTGAAATAAACATCCTCCCAAACTATCCTTCAGTGACCTCTCTCTATCCCTTTATCTCGCTTTACTTTTCTTTGTAGCATTTATCACTACCTGACGCTATATTATTTTTTATTTGTTTGCCTCTCTATTACCTATTGTTCCCACTAGAACAGTAAGTTCTATGAGGTCAGGGACTTTGGACAAATAGAGTACCTGAATAGGTACTCTGAAGAGGACACACAATAAATATTTGTTGAATGAGTGAATGAATTGTGCCATATATGACGATGCAAAGATTAATAATACATGAAGCATCCCTTAAGGAGTTCAAATTGTAGTTGGAGAGAGGGCCCATCAACAAATATACAGTGAGATAAGTATCCACAATAGAACAATGGCAGTGTATACAAGGCAAAAGAGTAAGCAAAGAAGGAAAGAGTAACTGGAAGACTGAGCTTGGTCCTGCAGGATATGCAAGGCAAATGGCAGTGGGAGGAAAAAGGTGGAAAGCAGAGGGAGAAATGTGGCTAAAGATATGAGAAAGTGAAACAGATCGGTTTCTGGAAACTGAGGACTATGTTGCTGGAGTGCCAAATGAAAGGAGGAGAATGGTAAGACATGTGGCTCAAGATGGAAACAGGATCCCAGTCACAGAAAAGGTATGGTATGTTATGCTAAAGAAGATGGCTGTGGTAGTCAATTGTGTTTATCTGTTTACTGTGAAACATTCATAAATCATAATGTTAGCAAAGAAAATTTTTAATCAATTTGATTACCAGATTAACTAAGGGTTTCCAATCTTTTTGAACACCATCTTGTTAAATATATTTCTAAATTGTGACAGCAATTTCCTATATTTAAAAGCATAGCAAGCCTAATACAATTTAATCTCTATATAATAGTTTAGCATTTTTTTGAGCATTGGTCTTTTTTTTTCTATTTAGCTCTATAACTGGTAAAGTCATATGCGATCAATCCCCCATGCATGTTTCTTTATAATCCTATAAAATAGTCTTTCCGTTATTGTCCAGTTATCTTGTGATATTCTTCCAGAAAACCTTTCAATTCAAAAACAAAATTGGTGCAGTGCAGTGAAATCAGTCATAACTTACCTTGCTTCCTAAAGGAACTAAATTGTAAAAATATCATTAAATTGTGTCATTGTTTCAAAGATATAAGTAAGCAACAAGATATCTGCTGCCTTACAGTATAGATGTGAAATTAATTTCCTTTTAAAAGAAGCTGGTACTACTATTTCCCCCCAAACAACAGAGAATTTGTATCCACTTCCACTTGGGCTTATTGCTTAGAGGGGAACTTCAACCATTTGAATTGATGTCTAAACCGTGGAAGGATTAGACAAGGAAAAAAGATTCCTGGCCTATTCAAAGATCATCTTCTCTTTTTAAAAGACACAATGACTCACAGACACTTGAAAGACAGAGAGCTTTGAGAGTTTTCAGCAATGTTTCTTTCTACTCACCCTGCTTCTTTCATATTCTTTCCTTGAGGCAGCAAATAGCTGAGCATTAGATATAGCGATTCCACAAAATGGAAGATACATCTGCATAACCTGGGGGCAAAGAGAGGGTTAAGAACATTAAAACATCACTGAACCAAATTCCACATTTCCTGCATGTGCCTGATTGTAATATTTTCCCTTCAACCATAAAGACTGAGTATGGAGTTGTTGATACTAGTATCTTAACTTCAGAAGGGATATTTTTCAGAGTTAACTATAGGACAGCCTCAGTCAAGCTTTGAGTAGGGATGGTCACATCCATGAAGACAAGAAGGGAAGCAACAGACTATGATGGCTATGATACAGTAATTGTGTCTAAAACATCTTTGTATTTCTTCTTTGATCAATAAAAAATGAATAAATGAATACTACTGATATATCTAGAATTTAAGGTAAATGCCCACACTCACATTTGGAGGTAGGCAGGGTATAAGTCAATTTCTTTGTACATATGTGTCTATAGCAGGGATCTCAGTTTGACCCTAGAACTCTGTCAGCTGCAGATTATGTCCGTTAGGATGGGCCCAGTGGGAACTTAGGGGCCAAAGGGCCTAGTAGCCTCATGCAAAAGAGCTCAAATTGTGTCCACTGCTCTGCTGACATAACTGGCCATGAATGCAAATTGGTGGGATGGTCCTACAGAAGGGTGTTTGAGGAAAGGCTGGGGATCTTTTAAGAGAGCGCTCCTCCTACGGGAAGAAACAGCTAGGCGTGATGGGCCTGATCTTAACAAAGACTTTCTCATCACAGGGGGCCAGGTCTAGGAATTTTCAGTACTGCCCGGCACTCTCACTCAAATTCATTTCCAGAATCTCTGATTCCAGAAGAAAGAATGCCCCGAGTGAAAAATCGAAAGAATTATTCCCCTAAATTCTTCACAACAAAGGACATTGTGACAAGTGACATTGCTTTGGGACTCCTCTAAAGCAGAGGGGAAAGCATGTTTTATATCACTCTCTTTCTCTCTCTCTGTGTCTCTCTCTCTCTCTCTCTCTCACACACACCCCCCCCCCCCACACACACACACTATGGTGCCCTGTGAAGAGGTACAGAGCAGCAGCAAAGCAGAGCAATTCCTGCCATGCCCAGAAGAGGGCAGGCCTGCTCAGGAGCACCTGTGAGACACTCCTGGGACACCCAGAACAGAATTACCTGGAGTGGGAGGTGATTTTGCAGAGGCTTGAGGCGGACAAAAGATAAAAGGCAATTCACATGCCCTATCATTTCTTTCCTATTAAAATCTCGCTTTGGCTACCTGGGCATACTCAACTCTGACCTCGGGTCCCTGAAAGTGTTTCAGAATGCTGTAGAAGCTAACGCTGGGACCCCAGTCTCAAGAAGAGAGAGAAACAGCAGGATTGGTATTAAGTAGAGGTACAAAATCAGTGAGTTGATTTTTACAGATCTTTTCAGGATAAACTCCTCCACTGAATTTGATTCCAAGTAAACTAATATTTAATGAGGACCTGCTATGTGCCAGATACTCTCACTTCATTTCTTCATTTGAATCGCACGTCAACTCCTCATGGAGGAACCTCATGTACATTTTAGAGATCAGGATACTCAGTAACTTGCCCAAACTAACACAGGAACTCAGGTCATCTAATTCTACTACTGATGATAATTCCTTACAACATGCTGCCTTCCAGAACTGGATGTTATTTCTGTCACCTCTCTTTCTCCTTCCTTACTACTCCCCCTCATGCCTTAGGAAGTTTGTCAATAAGTCAGTATAAAGCTGTTGACATAAAGTTGCCAGATATTCTGCCAGAATTTCCCTGCCTCTAGCCAGAATGGGACCATTTTCAACATCACCTACACATACAGAAAGCACTTTCCTTACAGTTTTTTGTTTTTTTTCTCTGCCGTGGGGACAGTGACTATGGTGGAGGTGAAAGAGAAGAGGAGATACGGGTTATTTAATTTAACTCACCGCCCCTTCCTTCCTTCCTTCCTTCCTCCCTCCCTCCCTCTTTCTCTCACTCCCTCTACCCCTTGCTTCCTGTATTTATTTGCCTTCAGGGGCCAAATTTAAGATGTATTATAGGTCAAGCAAGTAGGAAGAAGAGAAGGACAAAATGAACATATGAAATGTTCCCTAATATATCATAGGCTTGCTTCAATTCATTTGTAATACCAATATTTATTGAGCTGCAAGCATTGTGTATAATTAAAAAGAATCTGAATTTTAAATCAGATGACCATTGGCCTTTATATGGCTGTTCTGTGTGAAAGTGACTATGTCACTTAACCTCTCTGAACCTATCTCCTTATCTGAAAATGCCTGGTTTTGCATGGTAATCCTTCTGGTCCTTTTTAGTTCTGATATTTGGTGATTCAAATAATTAGACACATCAGTGAGCTACAATATTCTATTTGCCAGGGAAAACAAAGAATTCAATAAACATGCTCACGTCTTACTCAAGAAATGATCGTTTGTAATAGTAATTGATATTGACAAAGCCCTTGGATATGACGTTAAGCATTTTATATGTACTATATTGTTTGATCCTCACAACTACATATGTTATGCTATTAATTCTATTTTACAGATGAGAAAACTGAGGCTTTATGAACTTATCCAAAGTTATTGGGAGATAATTCACCACGTGGGTCTCTCACATTTCTGGACATCTTACAAACAAAGGCACTGGCTCTGTCTTACAAGGGTGTTTGTATAGTGAACAGCCTTGGAAAACAGATAGTGTCTCTTCTTCAAGAGCAAAGAGCAGAATTGTTTACTATGCACTATTATGAAGACAACATCTCCCTCTGGGGCAGAGGTTAGGCAGGCTTACTGTCCATCATAAAAGATTTGGGTTCCCCACATTTAAGGTTTCTCTCCTGTAACATATGCCCTGTATAATCTATGTGATACTGTTACTAAAGATCTTTATCTCAAGTCAGAAGTACCTGTCACATATTATTAAGACTATTGCGGTTTTTGTTTCATTCATCCTGTAGGTGTATATATATATATATGTGAACTCCACAACATAGATACTTAGTATTCCTAATTGTAAGGTAAGAGCCCCAGGAAGAATTACTAGAATCCATGTTAAATTTCTTTACTCCCTTTTTTACTGAGCCAGTTGCTACTGATTTTATTTTCTCATTCCATTGATTCTCCCCTCTGCTACATTACATTTCCCTTATTTTAGTGATTAAACTAGAAATGTTATGTACATACTTAATAAAATCTGAATTTAACATCTGTAGCCTCCTGCCAAATAAGATAAGAACCTTGTAACACCTTAACTCTCAACACTACTTTCCTGGTATAAGTGTTACTTTTGTTCTAGTCTATCCTGTTTTGTACTGCAAATTGGACATTATTATTATTATTAGCCAATGCTTATTTAGGTTTACTCACATGTTTACCAATTTTACCCTCTTCATTCCTTCTAGCATATCCTTCCTTTCTTCTGGGATAATTTTCTTTCCTTTTGAAGACAATGCTTTAGAATATCCTTTAGCATTGGTGATAAATTCTTTGTGTTTTATATAAAAAGGTCTTTATTTTATGATCCACATTAAAAGGTAATTTAGTTGGGTATACAATTCCAGGTTGACAGCTATTTTTTCTCCGTACTTAGGAGATATTATTCTGCTATCATGTGCAGTTGATGCTACTAAAAAATTGCTGTTGATCTAATTCTTTGTAGATTATCCACCTTTGCCTCTGGTTTCTTTTAGGACCTCTTTCCATCTTTAGCTGCCAATCTGTACTTTTCCAGCCTCAATCAAAGGCTTAACTGAATCATATAGAACTCTAATATATATCTATAGCTATGTATATATATACATAGCAAAGATTACTGTGATCGACACAGTATTAAACCTTAATGACACACTGCAAACTGAGAGGGGGTCTTTATTTACAAAAGGAATGATCTACCCTGTGTCATTCATCGCCACCACAATTCAACACTCTGGGGCCAGACTCAACTCCGTATTACAACATGACCCACAGTTTCTAAATAAATATGCAGGAGAAGCAGGCAAATATATTTTGAAAGGAAAAAGTAAGCAGAAGCTGAAGCAGTAAGGAGATAGAAGAAAATGAAAAACAAAATATTTTTATGTCTTTATTTCAGTCCCAGTGCAACAGATGTCTTTAAAAAAAAAAAAAAAGATATACCACTCTATTCGGCTCTTTCTGAAGTCTCCGTCTTCCAAGAAAAAAAGACTCATTTGGCCTTCACCATGTAGTTTCTGAATACCAAAAGGTCTAAAAAGCCTTAATGACTAAGAAGCTAATGAGTCTGCACACCCTTGTGCAGCACTTTTCAGCTTGAAAGCACTTTATGAACATTGGCTAATTAATCTTTACAACATCCCACTCAGAAAGGGAGTTAAACTGAAACCCATTAAACAGTGTGAAAAAGTCACTTTAGCCCTGGAAACTCATGAAAAGTATCATTAATAAGCATAAAATGTGAGTACTGGGACCTTCTATCAATGTCCTAAAGAAAGACAGTAGGTACTGAGCCTCTTCAAACTTACAAACCACAGGGAAAGGCTATTAAAGTCCCGTGATCTGGTCTGGTCCAAGCGTACATCATTAAAGAACACTGGAGGTCTACACTGGAGGGAGCCTGTCAGTGAGGGGCCTGCAGCCTTTCCCTTTATGAACCCCACTTCTGAAGGCAAAACAGCGTGAAAAGCCACCACACTGTGAGCCAAATTAATGGGTGAGAGAATGTTTTCCCACCATCATGCAACATCTCCCTCTGGGCAGATCCTGAGATTTGTGCTCTCAAGCCCCTTCTGTCCTCAGGCGTTAACTATAAGGCAAAGCTTCATGGATTCGGGCCCCACTGATCTGAAACTGGGAATGTTTGAAGATAGCTGTAATTCAACCACTAAATAAACTCTTCAAGTAGAGTTATTTGGCAAATAAGTTATCAAAATATGGAAGCAGTCACGTACTTTTCACATAATGAAACATTTTCTACATCATTTAGAAACAATATCAAAAATAGTAAAAAACGAGTTTGAAGTTGACTCCCGAGGAAATTTCTGCTTCCAGAGGTACAGTTTGGTTCGCT